GGTAACACTGAAAAACATAATTGTGCTTCAGCAGGAAGATCACAACCTGTCTGCAGCCAGCAGCATTTGTCCCAAATGAAAGAACACTTCAAGCCTGTTCCTATGTATTTGTTTTTTGTTCCAATATAGTACAATAAAAAGTCAACCATGCTCTCAACTGTAGCCTAGAGATGAACACCTTATTCACATGAAGTGTCCTTGTATCTCAAATATCAGGAAAGGACTTCCTATCCTATATGTGCATTTGCAGGTTTTTTTTGTACATGAGAAGGGATCCCTAACTTCAAGTGGTAGCAGGACACACCATGGGTACTGACAAAGAAACCACTGCTTCAATGTACCCATGAGTCTGGGAGATGCTCACAGAGATGAAGAGTAGGTTGTTTCCAGAATATCAATAGGGTAACTGAAGTATCCAACAGACACAGTGGTGATGGGCACAAATGATAGAACACTGTTTATTGTATGAACCAAAGGCTCTAATACAGTCTGGATAGAAATCTGTTCTTATAGGTCAATCTCCACCTGTATATATAGGAAGAAGCTGTAGAGAAGTTCAGCCATGGCAGGTATACCTCTCTCATTCCCTCAATTCAGCTGTTTTCTGCAAGACTATTTCCTGCCTTCTGGAAAAGGAGGGCCTGTTTTTGTACTCCCCAACTCTTCTATTTCTGGTTCTTTGAGAACCTGCTGATCACAGATTCAGAATCAGAGAGAGGCCCTGAGGGTACAGAGAATGAGGGAGTGGATCGCAATGAGTGTGAACCAGGGAAGTTGGTAAAGGTTGCAGCTATTAGAAACTTACACGGAAGTCTCCAGAAGACTCTCACACTCACACTGCAGTGTCCATGAGCACAAGTTCAACTCAGCTTCAGCCATAGCTGAAATCACAGGGAAACCTCATTATATGGTCAAGAAGAGCTATCCAGCACCACTGGTGAGACAGAATACAGGGTCACCTTAACATATGATACCAAGAAATTATCCCAAGTAATAGGCAGATACAATATTTCATTTGGTCTCAATTATACTTTTCTTGTCAATTTGTGCCTATGAACTAACTAGAATTTTCTTTACAACTCAAAACTTTAATTTTTCCTCTCTATATTACATCGCAGGAATTAAGATTCTAAGAGAAAATAATAGTATATTATTTTAACTGGCATGATTCTTAAAAACCTATTATTTCATGTAAATTATTTTTCTCTGCTTCTAATATTCTCTTCAAATCACTCAATCACTATTTTAATTGTTTATTCATATATGTTCATGATTTGAGCTCTACATCAACTACTTCTTATATCAAGTATTTATTTGTCCAATTCAGAGATTGGCTTAGAGTCCTTTGGGTTGACAGTGTTGAAGTCACAGCTCTAAGCACAAGCTCTATTATCAAGCAGCACTGAGAATGGGGTATGCTCTGTTCTACTTCACTATCTAGTACCCTGATATCTATTCATTTGATAAAGAGTCTATGAGGTTTTTCACTTCTTCCAATAATTGTGCTGTATGTGCTTAAAATCCGCTAAGCACCTTGTGACATATTTAATTAGCTCCATCACTGGTATCTTAGTTATGCTTCTATTGCTGTGATAAAACACCATGACCAAAAGCAACTGGAAGTAAAGGATTTATTTCTTCATACAACTCTCAGGTCACACTATCGCCAAGGAATTCAGGAGAGGAACTCAAGACATGAACCCAGAGGTGGGAACACATGCAGAGGTCGTGGAGGAGTGTTGCTTACTGGCTTCCTTATAATATTTTTCTATACCACCCAGGACCAACTGCCTAGGGATTATAATAGAGATTGGGCCCTTTGACATCAATGATCAACCAATAAAATACCTCACAAGTATGCCCACAGGCCACTCTTGAAGGGGCATCTTCTCAATTGAGGTTCATCTTCCCAGTTAAGTAGAGCTTTATTAATTTGATAAAAAAAAAAAACAACTAGGACAACTGGGTGGATTCCCTGCAATGTATCTTTAACTGTTCTATAAAATTAAGTTGCCTATAATCTTCAAAATTGTACTGATGTATTTTGAATTGATAAAAAAACTGCAGTATTTTGATGGTGGGTAAGAATTATTATATTTCCCAACCTTCTGTAAAAAGTAAAAACTGATAATCCCACATATCCTGACTGTCCATTACTAAGTAATAGGATTTTATTCTCCACACAAACTTTAACTTCCTTCAAAAACATGGGAAGACAGCTTACAGAAGTGTCAACATCTTTTCATAAATCCCTTTTCTCCAGATCTATTGTGTTGTCATGGAAGCTTCAGGCTCACTACCCTTTGTTCTTAGACTCGGAGAGTTACTGAGCTCTACTGGAAACTTGCTCTCTGCCAGAAAAACCCTGAGTACAGGCTCAACTACATTCTCTGTTTCTCTTCCGCATGCAGTCCCGACATTGTCTCATTTCTGTGATTTGACACTTGTTTTTCTTTTGGAGGTTAGAGTTCCATTACATTTCTCTCTGCCTTTTCTTCCCTCCAAGCCCTCCTATTCATGTATATATTCCTAAGTATATTCTGTTTAATGTATGTAATGTTACTTGTTTGCATGTTATCATGACTGACCATTTGGCAACCGGTTGCTGTGCTCTTCCCCAGGAAGGATCACCTTTGCCACTCGCAGGTTTCCTTGTTGCCTTTAGGGTCTAGGCCTTGTAGGTTTTTCCCAGTATAGCTTGGCATGTTCACTGGTGTTATCCTTGTTCAAAACATGTCTGGACAATTATGTTGGTGAGACTTTATGGATGCACCTTCTGATATTAATAGGAGACACAATCTCACAGCAAAATCCCCAATATTGTGGCTCTTAACGATCTTTCTGCCCCCTCTTTTCCAATGTTTCCTGAGCCTTAGAGATGATTTATAGATGTATCAAGTGGGATAGTCCAGTTTTCTTGTGATCAAATTAAGTGCTAAATCCTCTCCATGCTATTCCTATTTCATATTGATAAATTTTCCAAAATAGGAGTTTCTGTATATAATATTCTGAAATTTGCATTTTAAGGGCCAAATTCAAACTTTCATGGTGATTTATACTTCTCTTTGGAATTGTTTTGTCTAAAAGCCACATCCCACCTGACCATCCATCATAAGCCTATTTCAATCCTTTTCATGCTTCTGAATTGTCATTTTTTATTTCAACAGCAATTTACAGTTATATTTATAAATTCTTATCAACATCTAATATTATATCTTCACTATTCTATTTTCTTTCTAAGGTGCACTAGAATTTAACATTCTTTCATGTTATTACTAGAAAAAAACAAGTTAACTGCCTGTTTACTAACATGCCTTGAAATATATTGACTATATTAGTCTAGTCAATTAGCACACCTTTTTGTGTGTGATATTAGGGCATCTTATCTATGAATATATGGTGTTTCTAGATGTTTCTAGATGCATCTCATCATCATTGAAGTCATTTAATTTGTGTATTGAGTTTCCTAATGGCTTCCTTGCCAGGTGACTGTGGCTGTACATGTACTTATGATCTGTGTTATTACTAAAGAGGCCACAGTATATGTAGGAGACAGGCCAGGAGTCAAATATTCACCCAAGCTTTTCCTTTCAGGTAATCAAAAGATTCTGAAGCCTCGGGAGACACACATCTACCTTGATATTATGCTCTTGCTGCATGTCCAGCTCAAAAAGAGAACTGAGAGCTATGCAAAGATGAGTAAGGCCTCAGCTCTCAAAGCATTCAAACTACACATAGTTGACTTGTGTTCTGATCATACATGAAAACATGGCCTCCTTTCAACAATTTACTATCTGAACCAGTTTTATTTATCTGCTTTGTATAATTGAGGATGTACTCGGTGGCTTTAGCAATACAAAGTCAGTTCTGGACTCAAAGATTCATGGAATGAAGTAATACTTTAATTTGTTCAGAATGGATTAGATATAGTATAGTGCTTCAGAGACTGCCATTATCATTAGTACATTGAACACAACTGAATATAAACTGAAATGATATTTCATTAACATTATAGAGGTTAAAGTCAAAATAGCAGACAGCATCAAGATCAGTGATAACACAGAGAAATCATGAACCTCATCTTCTCATGGAACTGTTAACTGGCACAGCCACTTAGCAAAGGAAGGAAGCATTTCCTCCAAAGAATGATGATATCTGTGCTCCAGTTATCTATACAAAATACTTGGAAATAGATGCCTGTAGGAACGCTTGAGATTTGAATAACAATGTGAGAATGTAGAAAATCTGAATCAACATACGTTGCTCACCTAACTGTAAATTTATCCAGCCACTTTGAAAAGAATGAATTTCCACAAAACAGTCTCATTATTTCCTAGAAATTCTGGTCCTGATTATCTATTCCCAAAGGGTAGAAATGTATGTCCACAGAAATACTTGAAAATCATAGGCTAACATCTATAATAAAAATGCTTATAAATACAAAATGTTTAAACCAAATGCCCCCAGACTGGTTAGTTTGGGCCACTAGTAGTATATCCATAGATTTCAAATTAGAGATAATAATTACCATCAAATACAAATTTATACTGTCTGATAAGTGTCCAAAACAGCAAAGTAATACAGATTTTCCTAAAACTACCAAAATAATGCAAAAACAAAAAAGTGTAATCACAAGCCAAAATTGTAATGCATTACAGTCCTTCCAATAAATAATTGTTTCTTTCCAGAGCATTATATTCTAAGTTTATGTTATGTGAATTTTGCACCACTCTAGAAATGTGAAAAGTATAATTTTACTGCACGTTTGGCAATAGTTGGTGGCTTGTAAAGTATATCTTAATAAAACATTTAAGATCCAGCCACATGAAGATAGCCAAATATCACTACCACAGAAAGCTTAACTGTCCTCTGAGAATCCGATGTAAGAATGAGGAGGGAGAGAAACTGAGGTCAGTATGTAAAATAAATGAAAAGAGTTATTTAAGTAAATTTTTAAAAGAAGAATGAGGACACTGGTCCTCACAGTCACCCACATTATGTTAGACCATCATGGCATGGGTAGGGTAGTAAAGGTCAGGGGAATAATTTTGTCTCAGTTCCCCATGCATCTGAAGCACTGTGTGAGCATTTGTGCTGCTATCCCATGTTGAACAGTAATAACTGGCCTCATCTTCAGGCTTGAGGTCCGTCATAGTTAGGTAATATGTATCACTAAATGGTCGAGAATAGCCAATTGTCATAAATTTGGGGACATCACCTGGAATTTCTTTGTGCCAGGATGCATCATATGCTCCAACATCACCACCACTTCCAGTACAAATGAGGGTGACTTGTTGTCCAACAGAACCAGATATGGAGGCTTCCTGACTCAACCTAGGCTGTGCCCAGGACCCTGTAATAGAGGAGATGGAGACTCAGTGAGATAAGTTTTCTCCCAAATAGTAAGAAAGTCATGTTTCTGATAACTCCTTAATCCCTATTGCTTTTTACAAGCAGTTACCTGAGCAGAGAATGAGGAGGGTAAGAAGGATGGGGACCGCAGTCATGGTGGAGATTAGTAGACTACAGCTTCCTGAAGATCTAAAGCTGCATCAAAGACCACCCAGCATCTCTGTACCTACATTAACATAAATAGGACAGAGGGACCTCCCATGCAAATCATTTCCTCTTCTAGATGGCACCTCACCTTGTTTTCTAAGTCTTCTTTTAGCAGAGATGTGCAGAATGTGCTGAGTTCACATATTTGTTCTGGACCCTGAGCATTAGCTTCTCCCAGAGGTGTAAATGGCTGACTTCCAAAGGGACTGGTATACAGCACCCCCTACTGTCTTAGAACATGTCACACAGTGGTGCATTATCTCAGTTAACTCTGGACATAAGCATGAAGGAGCCTTTGTTCAGACACCATAGGAAAAATTTCCTAACTGGCCAGGGCTACAAAATATAAACTAATTTTATAGCCCTGAGAAAGAGTTGCAAGTTTCCCTTCTTGTGGCCATGGGTTATACACAGGACAGAAAAATGTATTTTACAATTTAAAACAGAGGCAGACAGATCTCTGAGTTTGAGTCCAGCCTGGTCTACAGAGTGAGTTCCAGGACAGGCTCCAAGGCTACTCAAAGAAATCCTGTCTTAAAAAATATTAAAACTCTTACAAATATATATTAAAACACTTTTAATGTCACTGTGCCTTGGAGAGTGCTAAATAAGCTCCTATACCTAGCCTCTACCTCCTGCCCTGCAGCTCAGGCTACAAAGAGTCTGAAGACACATTACTCTTTGTAAACAAACAGTCTCCAGTACAAGAAAATCTGTCTTTTATAACCACTAAGGTGATTACTCACTTAACAGTACAGGATGTAACACACAATTTACTTATTTCTCATATTCTCCTTAGTAGTTTAATTTTATAAGGCTACCTGTATAGATGAGATAATAGAAAAGACTCCTCTTTTTGCAGCTTTAGGTTGCAGCCCACTAAGCTGACTGATGGAATATGGTAATTTTTTGTTATGTGCTTATCTGGATTTCTTGCTCTGTTAGCTGTTGGGCTGACACTGTTTCTTATCCTTACTTAATAGATGATTGTGACCTTCAGATGCAATGCCTGAAAATTTTTTGTGGGTCTTTATAAGCTATGAAGAGCAAAAAGACCTGGGCAGATACTTGGGGAACATGACAAGAGAAACATTATAAGAGAAGGATAACATTGTGTATAATAAAATTAGAAGGAAAACTTGAAGAGTAAAAAATATACATAGACTAGAGATAGAATAGACAAAGCAGAGAATGCAGCAAAAGAATGTCATGAGAGCAACATGGAGAGAATAAAGGAGAAATACATTGAACTAAGTATAAGAATGTTTTTTCTCCTACCCCCCCCCACGCACACACACACATAGAAAAGGCCAACTCCATTGGATTCCTTTCAAAGCCCTACACTATCTGGAGGCTGGCCCCCTATACAGCAGTATTCAAACTTCTTTTGTGACTTCAGACACTGAGGTCAGGCAGCATATGGCAGAAGAGTCCCTGCATAAAGGCTGTGATACAGCCAAGAGTCCCCAAGAGGCCATAGGTTAAAACTGTGGTAGTGAAGCCTGGGTTGCGCTAGAGACACAAAGATGTTAGGAAGGCCAGAGCCATGAGATTTCTGCCAAGGAGTGCTGCACACAGTGAGTGAAACCAATCCACTAGAGATTTGTGTTGCAGGAAGACAATCTGGGAAGGCAGAGACATATAAGGCAGTTGATAGCAGAGTTAGAGCTACAGAATTTGCTGTTTTCTCTGCTAAAGTTATACCTTGGCTTAGCCTAATATTTCCTCAGTATTAACCTTTTGTTCCTTTTGACAATGATGATTTTGGAAGCAGATATTTTTTAAACAAGGGGTTATAATTAAAAGATCACTGAGAATGGTAGCTACTTTTATGTCAAGTTGATAAAACTGAGTCATTTGGGAAGTTAAAACCTCAATTGAGAAAATGCCTTACCAGATTCATCAGTGGGAACATTTTCTTGATTTTTAGTTAATGTGAGAGGGTTCAGACTGATGGGGGATGTCCTTCTGTATATGTTTCTCTTATTGTTGATGAATAAAACACTGTTTAGCCAATGAGGCAGGAAGATAGGTGGAAATAGGAGATGAGGAGGAATCTGGGAAAAGCAGGCAGTGTCAGAGGCAATGTAGGACGCCAGAAGAGTAAGAGGTCCAGACCCTTCTCTGGTAAGATAAGACCATGTGAAAATACTTAGATTAATAAAAATCGGTTAATAATTAAGACAGAGCTAGCCAATAAAAAGCCCTAGTCATTGGCTAACAGATGTATAATTAATATAAGTCTTTGTGTGCTAATTTGGGGCCCAAGGGTGGCGGGTCCTGCAGGGCCAGAAAACTCATGCTTACTCCAGACCAATGTGTGTGGTGCCACCTCAGGGGAGGTGGTCCTGGCAAATATAAGAAAGTAGACCAAGGGCTAGGCAGTGGTGGTGCACGTCTTTAATCCCAGCAGTTTCGAAGCAGATACAGGCAAATGTGAGTTCAAGGCCAGCCTAATGTACAGAGACAGTTCACAAATAGCCAAGTCTACACAGAGAAACCCAGTCTCAAAAAATAAAAACAAACAAACAAACAAAAAACAGACTGAGCAAGTCATAAAAAAACCAGTATGCACTTTTCTTCCATGTCTTTTGCTTCAGTTCCTGCCTCCAAATTCCTGTTTTGAGTTGTTGCACTCACTTTATTTCATGCTTACCTATGATTGGAACATGTAAGCTGAAATAAACCATTTCGTCGCCCAAATTGCTTCTGGTTGTGCTGTTGTATGACATAAATAGAAACCCTATATAAGATAACTTGAGTCTCAGAAGAGACTTTGAACTTTTAAATGGTATTGATACTGTAAAAATCTATGGGGACTTTTGAAGTAGGAATAAATGAATTTTACATAATGATATAATTCATGAATTTGTTGAGGACAGGAAGTGGAATATGGTGGCTTCACTACCAAGTGACCCCAGTCTTGGACATTTGAATACTCAGTCTCCAGTTGATGTCATTATTTGTACTTTAGGAGATTTGGTGTTAATGGAATAATGTGTCACTGGCATCAGGCTTTGAGAACTTGAGAACCCATCACATTCATAATTTACTCTCTCTGTTCTATGCTTGCAATTCAGCTTATAAGCTGTCAACTTCTGGTCAAGCTGCCATGCCTCCTACTTGCTACCTCTACTCCACCATCATGGACTCTAGTCCTCTGGAACCATGAACCCTTCTTCCTATAGTTTTTATTGCAGCACTAGGAAAGTTAATAATACACAGGAAAAGGAGGTAAAGAATATATAAATAATAAAAAAATGCCAAAGTATCCTCATTTACAGATGATATAATACTGTACAAAAAAAAGAGTGAACACTCCAACAGAAAAGTCCTAAAGCTGAAAACACATTCAGCCAAGTAGTAGAATATAAAATCAACACACAAAAATCAACAGCATTCCTATGTAGTAACAACAAATATTCTGAGAAAGAAAAAATGGGGGTAAATATTATTCATGATAGCCTCAAATCAAGCAAAGAAAAAGAAAGTAAAAACCTCTGGAATAATTATAACCAGGGAACTGAAGGACTTGTGCAATTAAACTTTTAAGACAGTGAAGAAAATTGAAAAAGATAGAAAAAGATTAAAATACCTCTCATGCTCATTTATTAACACAATAAATATTGTGAAAATGGTCATCTTATCAAAAATAATCTAAAAAGTCAGTGAAAACCCTATCTAAATTCAAACTGAAAATTCACTTAAATTCAAAAGGCAATCTTAAAATTCATTTGGAGACACAAAAGAACCAGGATAACCAAAATAAACCTTAACAAATGAAATGCTGCTGGAAGTATTAACATACCTGATTTCAAGTTAGACAACAGGGCTGTAGTAATGAAAAGAACAAGATGCTGGTGTAAATAATAGGCACATCAGTCAAACAATAAGATTAAAGATCCACATATAACCCCTACAACCACCTGATATTTTATAAGGAATCCAAAACGCCACATTTCAAAAAGACAGAAACTTCCAAAATATTGGTCTGGTCAAACTTGAAAGCTTTGTTTAGAAGAATAAAATTAGATACTCATTTGTCAGCCTACCAAAATTCAATTTCAAATGGAGCAAGGACATCATCATTAAACACAATACACTGAATCACATAAAGGAAATATCAGAAAAGAATTTTCTGAACAGGATCCCAATGGCACATGTATTAAGATCAACAAATAACAAATGGCGCCTCATGAAACTAAGAAGCTTCTATAAAGAAAAGAACAACATCATCTGAAGAAACATGCAGCCTACAGACTAAAATAACTCCTTCACCAAACTTATATCTGGCAGAGAATTGGTGTCTGAAATATACAACACACTTAGAAATTAAAGAAAACAAAGAACCCAATTAAAAATTGGAGCATGGAGCTACATAGGGAGTTCACAAAAGAAGAAATTTGAGTGGTTCAGAATTTTTTAATATGTGGCATTTTATCTATAAGGAAAAAGCAACTTAAAACTACATTGAGATTTCATCTTTTACCAGTACTAAAGACTAATATCAAAAGTACAAATGGCAACCAATTCTGGTATGGGTGCAAAAAGGAAACCCTTATAACCTGCTGATAAAAGTGCAAACAACTGAAGCAACTAGATAAATCAAAATGAAGACTCCTCGGAAAGCAAGAAATAGAGCTACATTTACATCCTGCTGTACTTCTCTAGGGAATATACTCAAAGGGAGTGCTCTATTACAAAAATATCTGCTCATCCACATTCATTGCTGCTCTACTTACATCAGCCAGGAAGTGGAAACAACCTGGATGTTTATGAACTGATAAATGAGTAATAAAAGTGTGTTACATTTACACAATGGAATATTATTCTGATATTAATAAAAATGAAATAATAAATTTTAATGTAAATGGATGTTGCTAGAACAGTTACTCAGTGTTAGTTGACCAACACCCAGAAATGCAAATGACTCATGATCATACTTATA